ATGAAAACTTCTGGTATAAAGGTATAGTCTACTTCTAAGTTACATTTCATGATTATGCCACATCTTGTCTTTTCAAATTTCAGAGGATTAAAAGTTTTTGTAGGTATTACATTCACATGCAGACTGTTCAAAACATCCCCTACAGGTTGAATGAAACATTTATTTGTACATAATTCAAGTCTTCTTAAGAGAATAGCCTTTTTTATTTATTGAAACTGATAAAGTAAATATACCTTTGGTTACTATTACATCACGCCCACCAGTGAGAATCTTAGCTACTGAGAATCAATGTACCCATGATACATGTGTTTCAGTCATTTATACCACAAAATTATGACTACACAACTGCGATAAACAACTGTATCACATACCACTTTTGAGATTTCATTTGAACTGTATGGCACACTCTGACTAGCCATTAGGAAATTGTCTGATTTATTGTTAAGGTAGTTACTATAGCACATGGGTCAGCAGCTAGACTCACACTAGTTTTGCTGATAGTCCAGTTATTAATACTGTGCCCAAATGAGTACTCCTTGAAGGTAATAATAAAATAAAAAATCATGTAAACTCCAGATGTATCTTTTCATATTCCTCTTAATTTGTCCATGATTAACACAAATGATAAATTAATTAGCTTTTAAAGTTTTGCCAGCCTTTGACACTTAAACTGTAACTGAAAAAAATAAAAATAAAAAAATTGGGCAAGAAAACTGCACAATAAGTTCCAGGACAACTCTTATTACTTCCTTTAAAAGAATAAGAGTAACATTAGCATCTCTATAATCCTCAAGTACATTTTAACTATCTATTGTCCTAAGAAATATGAAAGAGAAGCTTGTATTTCTTTGACCTCCTTTAAAACCCTGGAAAAAACCTTCTCTGGTATTGGTGCTTTATATATATTTTCAATCTCTCAGTCTTTCTACTTATCACCAAAGGATTAATACCTACATGAATCAGGTCAATTCTAATATTTCCCACAGAATGTTCAGTCAGGAATATTGCTAACATCTTCTCTTGTAACAACAGAATATAACATTTTAATCTAAGCCATTAAATATTCAACAAAAACCTTACTATCAGCATACATTATGGACCCAATCCCCATTTTACCTTCAAAGTACAATTAATTTTACCATAGATATTACTACATTGTACAAAACTGTACACTGGTTCAAAGTTAATAAGTAGCCTGAATCAAACTCTCTTCTTGAATCAGAGAAATTTGTTTCACGAGTCAAATCTAGCACACATATTTCCAAACCATTAGTAAAGAGCATGAAAGAAAAAGAACCTTTAGCTACACCCCTTAAGTTATTCTTTACAATGTTCCATTGTAGTTACTGTAAATCTGAGAACATTTGTGACCAAAGATTACAAACTCATTAACATCTTAACAGTTTTGGATACTTTCTACAACTTGATATCCTTCAGTAGAGTGGTTCTAAAACTTTTTTTTTTGTTTGAAAAACAGTTAAATGTTTTTTAAATCTTGGCAGACCATAATGGGTCTATACACTATGCTGCTGCTTCCTTTCTATAATTATGAAACCTTTACACACAGACCACCTGAATCAGTGCTTCTCAACTGGGTGAATGGTTCACCCAGAGTTAACGAGATCAGAATCAGGGTAAATGAGTTTTATCAATTAAACAACAAATTCAAGAACAAAAAAAAGTCATTAGTTATTATTATTTATTCTAGTTGTAGTTTGATGTATATTTATGCTATAATAAAAAATTTTACATTTTAATTTAATACTTTGTCTTTTTTCAAAGTGGGGTGAGTGAGCTGGTGTGAAAAACTTGTAAGGGTTAATAATATTGGAAAAGGTTGAGAAGCACCATCCTGATTGAATGTAGCAAGTAAACCACAGATTGAGAACCACTGCTTTAGGATACACATATCCTCCTTGTTCTAGTGCTGTGCAATTATGTTGACACTTTCCATGGATGATAGTGTCATATGAAAACTACATAACATTCATTTTTATCACCATATGATAAACACTAATATTCACTGGATCAGAGATATATGGGCATTTTGGTCAGCTGTTATAAGAGGTGAAGAGAGACATCACCAGCCTTCTTTAACACTGCTCTTTAGGTTATCTGGATATGTGAAGAACTATTTGTTTATTACAGAAGATTCATATCCTGAAGGGTTGTTCAGTAGACATATATATATATATATATATACACACATACACACACACACACACATTGCCTCTGAACAGTTATATTACCAGAATTGTGTCATTTACTCAGTAATTATAGACCTAAAGTTTTCATATAGCATGTTAGAAATAGAGCAATTTTTAAAATTTCAACTTATGATGGAAGATTTCTGCATTTTGTTTTTAAATGGCCATAAAACAATAATCTTAAACATTGAGGGAATCTACTTTTGTGAAAGGATATTCACCTCCATGTTACTGAATGCTAAGTGTTGGTTCACTTCGAAAGGATTATCATGTATCACTGGACTAACATACTTCCCATCATTTTTTACAAACATCAGCAATCATATTCTTCATTTAAGCAATGCATGTTAACCATGTGTAATAAAAAGTATACAACAATTAGCTAGAACCTCAACATCAGGTAAACGAGACAGGCAAAAAACAAAACAAGTATGGGAAACTCCAAGACCTATGAATAAGACATCCTGAAATTTGTAAAGAAAAACTAAATGTTAGTTTCGTAATTTATAAACAAGACTGCCATTCTCTTTCCTTCCATTTCAGCTTTGCACTTTCACTATATACAAAGTAGAAAAAAA